AAAATTCACATCCGTCCACAACCAGGGAATGTGACCTGATTTGAGAAACAGGTCTCTGCAGATGTAATCAGGTTAAGCTGAGGTCCTGCTGCATTACCATGGGCGGAGCCCAATCGGCGTCCCCATAAGCAGGGGGAAACTGGACAGACACGCCGAGAGAAGGCCATGTGGACGTGCAGGCAGAGCCTGGAGTTACACTGCCACAACCCAAGAGACGCTAAGCTCTGCAGGCCACCACCGGAAGCTAAGGACAGACTCGTGACAGAGTTTTCCCCTCAGCCTTCAGAAGGAGCAGGACTCTGGCTTGCACCCTCATTTTGACTTCTGGCCTCCGTAACTATGACAGAATAAATTTCCGCTGTGTTAAATAAATCACCCCAGTTTGTGGTGATTTATTTTATAATGCTTAGAAAGCAAAAACAGTGATGGTTTTCATGATTTCAAAATTAAATGCATAAATATTTACTCCATACAAAGTGAGGTTAAGAAACTAAAATTGCCCACTTCCTTTCTATCAAATGAAAATAAAACATTTATAAAAGTACCTCACAAGCTTTAAAACATAATTTTCAATTCAACCAATTTGTCATATACTAATTGCCTGTTCCCTAAGTCCTCCTTGCGGTAGGCCCTGTGGAAAATAGAAACTATTGAGTATCTGCTCTTAAAGCAACTATCGGTTATGAATAAAATATTGAGTACAGTGATAATTATCAGGTACTCCATCAAAGTACTAGTCTAAACTTGAATAGAAAGATATTGAAGTAAGAGAAGAAAGTAACGGTATTTTGTGAAAATGGAAACAAATTATTAAACCTTGGAACCAGATCAGCGGGCTTTTGCAGAGAGGAGTTGTTCAATAAACGTTTCATGAATTAGTAAATTTTGAATTAAAAATATATTCGGATTATTAGTTTAGTTTATACCTTTGGAGTCTTAGCATTCATAGTTCTAAATAATAAGTCTGCACATCCGATTAATCTACAGCCCCATTAACTCAAACTTTTTTTTAATTCAAGGAGTTAAATACATACGTCTATTCAAGACTTAGTTCACTTATTTGACAAATATTTGATGAATACTACTTTAGCCAAGGAGTTATGTTTGAACGGATTCGACGATAAACGAGACAGACATGCTCTTTGCTTTTCTGAAGCTTGAAAAGTTATGTAGAAAGAGATGGATATAACACAAAAAAATTAAGTGCAGTCGAGACCCAGGTGATGAGGCAGAGCAGAGGACAACCAATAGAGCTCAATCTCTTCTTGGCTAGGGACAGAGGCCAGAGGTCCGGCGAAGGACTCTTAGAGAATTTATGTTTGCAGTTGAAGGATGAGTAGGAATTTAACAGGAAGGACAAAACAGGTGCAAAGGGCATGTGAACTACAAAGAAAAGGCAGGTATGTGGGCAGCTCGGTACTGAGGAGGGCACAGCAGAGCCGAACCACAAAGACCGCAGAGGGCAGCATGACAAAGCCACGCCAGGATCCGTGCGTCTCGGGAAGGTGTGGGAGCGTTAGCCAACGGTCCAGGCCTCAAAATGTTTACAACGGGGAGTGCCAGATGAGACGGCAGGCCAAGAGCCCACATTCATCTTACGTCTTCCTAAACTCGAACCAAAACTACAGTTGAGAGAACTTTTTTAAAGAGACACAAACCCACTCAACAGCCAAAAGCTAAAATGCTAACGAACAATGAGTGAGTAACGTAACACGCTCGACAAAATCTCGAGCCTTCGGCAGAAAAGCTGAGAACCCGCTCAGTGAAGCGAGAACCCTCAGAAACCAGTAACACCGGGTGTGTTCAAATCTGGGGGTGAACGTGAGCAGATATAAGGGGGCCAGGAACTGTTTGGGAAGCAAACAGTTGGTCTTGTAGGCACCCTCCCCTCCTCCACTCTGTAAGGCCACTATCCTCACCTTCTCTTCTGAAGAGAATGACAACAGGGGGTCCCTAGTCTGTGGGTGTGGCACGTATCATTCAGCCTAGGACACTGGCAGCTGGACCTTGAACCCCAGGCAAGAAGTTAAAAAACTCCACTAGGAAATCAACTAGAGAAGAAAAACCATGGAACAAGGAAGTGTCCCTCCAAAGTGGCCTTCGCTACCCAGCCCTGTCCACAGCTCTCAAATCTACCCTCCAGCCCAAGAGCAGACAGTCAGGGATTTTCAGATATTTGACAAAAGGAAGTCTCTAACAAGAAGAACAGAAACCAAAAGCAACGTGGAGCAAACAAGTCATTCAAGGAGAAAAAACTTAAATCGAGCATCCCAACAAGATAAACTCATGCTTCCACGCCATGAGAACAAGAGGCTATAAACAGAGCATTCCGAGGGAGCATTAAGAAAAACAAACAAACAAACAAAAACAGAAAACATGAAACACGTGCCCGTAAAACATGCCAGTACAAATAAGTCGAGAAAACTTCTGACAGCAGAGCAAGCAGACAAGGAAATAAAAAATAGATCTGTGAAGGAAAAAAAAAAAAACACCTTAAAATTAAAAGCCAGGAGTAGCATACCCACAGAGCCACAGACCGAGGAAGTAAAGCAGAGAAAGGAGAGGCGAAAGTCATCATTTTAAAAGACACATCCCCAAAATTAAAGGCACGCGTTGCAGACGCTCCGCGTAACCAGGGTGATGGAAGGAGACAGATGCCCGCCACGGCATGGCAGCGTGCGAGCTCAGACCGGGGCAGGAAAAGGGAGCGTGAGACCCCAGAGAAGGAAGGGCGAACGTGGGAGCAATGCCTCCCATCCGTGAGAAAGGGGACCGCTCACCCTGAACTCTCTGCCCAAACCAACTGTCAGAGATGCATGAGGGTGGAGCGCAGGTGTTTTCGAAGGACTGCTGCAGGCCGCCATGGCTCAGACGGCGTCTCACGTTTGCCCATCTTGGTGGCCTGAGGACAGAACGCTGGGGCGAGCCAGTCCAAGGCTGTTAACAGCTGGCTCATTGTGGCCACACACCTACGAGTCCCGGGTCCCCTGCTCCAGGCCCGGCGGCCGGGAGCAGATGAGGACGACGGATTTACTGCATAGCCGTAAAAGCTGGAAATATGAAGCAACTGATTCTCGTCCCCTTTTCCAAGGGGGTGTCATCAAGTACCCGGAGTTCATGCTGCGACTTTGGCAGGTGACTTGGTCACCATCCCCAGTGTTCTTCAGAGTTCTTAGCTCGTGACTGTACCTGCCCAGGTCTCCCGTAAACTCTGAGGAAAGGTGAAGCCAGCTGACGACCCAGACACTGTCCAGCCATCTTCTCCTGTAAAGAGCAGGAAAATGGCCTCTCCCGAAACCATCAGGCCCATGCCCGCTTCTCACTTGGTCAAAAGAAAATAACATTCGGGAAAACATACGCAGGTGGTAACGTCACAAAGAGAAGCAAGGAAATGATTAACACAAAAGTTAAGGTGCCGGTGACCGTGGCGGAGCCGGGGGAGAGGATCTGGGGACAGGCGGGTGGAGGGCTGCGAAGGGGCCGGCAACTGCCTGTGTCTGGACCGGAGGGTGGGTGTCTGTATTCCCACTCTAGTGCTCTTTAAAATCCTCCCATGCATATATCATACTTCGAAACAAAAATTATTTTTTCAAGGGCGAGGGACGTGATCAGATCTGAACATCTGACATATTACTAAGGCCACCGTGGAGAGAGTGGGGGCGGGAGGTGCAGCCAGGCAGGTCACCGAGAGGACATGCTGCTCTTCTTCATTATTGTTGGGTGTTTTGTTTTGTTTTTGTTTTTGTTTTGTTTTGTTTTCTTTGCAGGGGGAGGATATTATCAGAAAGGGGAGGAAGGGAGGAGGGACGGACAGAGGAATGAGAAGTATTTGCTCAATTAGCAAAAACAAAGCCAAAAGCCGAAGATCACGTCCACTGTCAGTGGTTACCGCTGCTGACGACACATTCTATACACGCCGTCCGTCTACCACAGTGCGCTCAAAATGCCGTAAAAGGAGCCCGTCCGTCATACTTCAGAACATACTTATATAACCAGCTTCAAAAGATATCTCTACAAACCCAGTGTCCCAAACAAAGGAAGGGCTAAACAGAGAGGTCGGGGATCTGCAGTGACGGGTTGAAATTCTGAGTGAGGACTTCCTTGAAAATAAAATCCAGGATGCCAACGCCCCAGCCCAAGCCTTGACCCCTTGCTACATGTGGTACCCACACGCCACCATAGGAACCGTCCACGGCGCTGCAGCCATGCGCCTGCCCTTTCGGACCTGGAAAGTGAGGTCGAGTCAGCATGTGGTACCCACACGCCACCGTCATTTCATTTTCCATAGGAACCGTCCACGGCGCTGCAGCCATGCACCTGCCCTTTCGGACCTGGAAAGTGAGGTCGAGTCAGCCTCCTACACCCACATTTAGTGTCTGAGCAAGCAAACGGTGGGGGAGCGGTTCCCCACCCTGCGAGCTCCAAACAAGGAGAGCTGGATTTATGATTTCCTCTGACCTGAACGGGTCATTCCTGTCCAGATCTCAATATTCTATTTCATGGATGTTTTAAGCATAATTTTAAAAGTATTAAGAGCCTGGCGATCCATTCCAGGTGTGGTAGGTATCTTCTATGTTCCATCAGCATCTGGAAGAAGGCATGATAGCCAACAGACACTCCAGCGAGTCTCTGGAGCCATCCAGAAAACTGAACCATCGAGAGAAGCAACATTTTCTATTATTTTTACCAAAATAATACCCAAAATAGACTTGCCATATGTTCCTTTGTTCCTTTGGTAAGGGGCGAGCAAGGGAAAATGAGATTTCTACAATAATACATTACGGAGAAAAACCTAAAAAATGTGAATTTGTTATCCTGGAATAGGGGTCTTTGTGAAGATTACAAGACATTAACAGAGCGGAACAGATAACATTTTAAACACTTCGAATGGAAACTGGCCAAGGAGGCTGCTTTTTGTAAATAGTGGGAAATGATTTGACCCGGGAAAGTTTTCACACGGTTCACTCTCGACAGCAGCAGACAAGCGGCCCACGTCTTACCTTAAACACTTCCACCGGAAGAGGAAACTCTGCAGCATCAATAAGGGATTTTTCCAGAGCACATTTCCATTCAGAGGCCATCTTCAAAGGATAGATTTCTGTATCAACAGCAAACCACAGAAGAGTTTAAGGACTGAAATGCTCTGCCAGGTGGTTCGTGCTTGAGTTTTATCTTCCCAGGATTTCAGAACAAGCCGGCACGCTCAGCAGCCACCGTAAGAATTCACACCCTGCCCGCCATAAAAGGCCACCTGCTAAAGGGATTTGCTGAAGTTAAATAGCAACTTGGGATTCTGCTTTCAGAAACGAAAAATAAACTTAATAGGGCTCTTCTTCAGGGAATATCTGCAGCATTCTGTTGGCATTCTGTGCGTAATTTAATGGCATAAAACACATTAGCAACATCTCCAGTCATCCACTGCCCCAAATTCCATATATTACCTGGGAAGTAATATCCACTGATGAAGAACTTATCATCTGATAAACGGCTAAACTAGAAACGACTCTTATCTGGCATTTTCGGTTATTACAGCATATTTTTCACTAAACCTCTAGGCTCTCATATGCTCAAAATAGTCCACGTAAGTCAGAAAATGATTAAAAGATAAATTAAAATGTACCAAGTTTAATGTTTACACGTGAAACGTCGTGAATGTACCACATCTCGCCCACACTTTTCCCCACATGCTGTGGGGGGTGTGGGGGGGGGTAGAAATTCACAAATGGAGGTTACACGGTCCGAATGCAAAATTAAAAGAAGAAACGGGGTGAGCGCTGTTTGTCGTTCACCGATCGCTAAGCTGCAGGAGAATTTGATGCTCTGATCTCAATCAATGGATTGAACACCTTATCGAAACAGGATTGAACACCTTATCGAAACAGCAGCACTCACTCAAAGTAGATGCGTTTATAACTATGAGCACATATATCCGCCCAGGCTGCCTCTGACAGACAGGTTGGAGGCGAACAGGAACATAAGAACAGTTAAGAGGCAACACTAAACCTTTGGGGCTGAATCTTTCATTTCCTACACGTCTGCGTTTTAGCGTGGAGCCATAGATTTTGATCCTCCCCCTCCTTGAGCTTCATTCCCCTGTGTCTTAGAAGTTTATTCAATCTCATCAGACTACCATAATTACGGTAGGCAGAAGATGCTGCCAAATTATTACGCGAAGACCCAGAAAGGCTTATTCACGACTAAAGAGCCTCCACTGCGTACGCCGTCCAGAATCCTTTGTCGGATTTCATCGATACCCTTCTACCTCCGGGAATTTTTTTTTTTTTCCCAATTTGACATTTCTGTGTCAGACCAAAAATGGAATGTGATTCTCCTTAGTGGTTACTGACATATCTGGGGAGAACGTAATGAGGCCCCACTAAATTATTAAAAGGTAAATTCTCTGCAGAGAATGAATGCATTGTTCCCCAGCCTCCCAGGCGAGAAGGGGGATGCAGGGCAGAAACCACTCATCAAAGAAGGAAGAGGAACCAGGAACGGGGCCCTACAAATGGTCCCGTGAGGGGTAGAAGCACCTCCCGAAACGCTCCAAGGGTTCAGCTCAGGGACCCGGCGTCGGAATCCCGGCAAAGAGGGAAGTGATTCTGAGGCCTGCAGAGGACACGACCGCGACCACTGGAAAGGGACCGGAGGGTCGGGACGAGCCAGAGCCTGGACCTCGGGAGGGGACGAGAACAGACTCGCTTCTCCAGGGACCTGGAAGCTGACGAAGTCCCGCCTTGGTAAAGAGGAACCGAGTCACGAGAAAGGACGGGGAATTCCAGAGACATGACCGAGGCAGGGTCTGCAGACGTAAAGGGCGGGGAAAAGGGAAGAAAAGGCCCCCTGCGTTGGGGCCCTGAGCTCCCGCGGCCTGTCGCTCCCGCGGCCTGTCGCCGAGGTGGCTGGGGAGGGCGGAGACACGGAGGAGAGGGGCATGGAGAGCAGCTCAAAAACATTGCTCAAGGCAGGAGCTATGGAAACCCAAAATGGCCAAAGTCACTTCCAACTACCAGAACCGAGGGAGGTGATGCACGGACCCCACGTCATCCCGACAGCTGAGCCCTCGGCCCCCGGATGCCACCTCTCTCCCACCAACCCGGGGACACATGTTAACAGGAAGCCCAGCGCCACGGACTGAATGTTCGCACCCTCCCCCGATTCCTACGTTGAAACCTGACCCCTCCCCCCACGTGATGGTGTCAGGAGGCGGGGCCTTTGGGAGGTAATGGGGTCAAGAGGGTGCAGCCCTCACGAGTGGCATTTGTGCCCTTATGAAAAAAGAGACAGACAGCGAGCTTCCTGGCCCCGTCACCGTGTGAGGACACAGTGGGAAGACGGCCATCGATGAACCGGGAAACGAGGCCTCACTAGACACCTCATCTATGGGTGCCTTGACCTTGGACGTCCAGCCTCCAGAACGGGGAGAAATGAATGTGTCGTTTATATTATACGCCACGGAGTCTGGGGTAGTCCATGACAGCAGACAGAACGGACTAAGTTAACACCCAGGTTCCACGTGATTTTCGTCTCTGTCCTACAATCTTTTTTCTTTGTCTTCTAAGGTTGTTAAACCCTAACATAGAATTTAATCCCATTGCAAGGCACGCTTCTTTCTTAAAAGGTGAAAATCAACTGCGGTTTTTGTCAGTCTGCTCGACCACCCGCTAGTGGTTTCAATGAGCAGAGACCAATATTCCATGTGTGCGTTTCATGACATGACAGGCACGTGGGTACACCGGCAAGTTTGTGGACAATAAATATCACGATGAAAAGAACTTCAGACGTTTTCTTAAGACGATCATGTTGCGGGTAATTTAATAGGGTGTATCACATCGATTTCTGTTTGTGGGGAAGTAATAAGCAATTGAAATCTGTCCTGATTCATCTTTAACCAGAAGCCTAAGTGAAAACGAGGCGTCCTCCCTTTGCGCAAGTGTTTGGCAGGCCGATTCGCATAAGTGCTGCAGCCTCGGCGTAAAGAAGACCCCCTTTCTTTCATGCACCTCCAAACCTCTACTCCTTCCTCCTCCACCTGGCTCTGACCAGCGAGGAAAGACTAACCTGTGCTTGCTCAGGACAGTGGAAGGCGCTAGGGACTGAACGTCCGTGTCCTCTCAAAACTGACGGGTTGGAGCCCTGCGCCCCAGTGTGATGGCTCGTGGAGGTGGGGCCTTTGGGAGGTGATTGGGTTAGATGAGGTCACAAGGGTGGGGCTCGCGATGGAATTCGAGCCCCTTGAAAGCAGAGACCAGAGCTAGTACTCTCTCTCTTTCTCCCCCGGCCCTCACACACACACACAAAGAAGCCCTGTGAGGATTCGGGAGGCGGCCGTCTGCAAGCCAGGACGAGAGCCCTCGCCAGAGCCTAGCGGACACCCTCATCTTTGGCTTCCGGCCTCCAGAACTGGGAGAAAATAAGTCATGCTGTTTAAGCCACTGAGTCTATGACACTTTGTTACGGCAGCCTGAGCAGATTAATACAGAAAAAGCGACAGCTCTTTTTGGACTGAGAGATGGCTCAGACTGGAAGCACTGACTCCAGGAGCTATCTAAAATAAGAAAGAAAAAGAAAAAGAAAAGTTGGTGTAAAGATTTGGATGGGAAAAAAAAAAAAGGAAAAATAAATTGTAGAACTAGAAACAAACAAACAAACAAAATCTCCAAAATGACTACCTTGCTTTCTGAACAGCCGTAAATACAAAAGCAGGTGGGGCCTCAACCTGACCCCTGACCTCAATGACTTAGCAAATTTCTTGGCTAACCAAACATAACCATAACACACTGAGCCCAGACTGAATACCTAGAAGATGCCAATCATTTGAGCACCTTCCAACACTCGGCAGCACAGCAAACGTGGCATCGCCCCCGTTTTACAGACTCCGAGAAGCAGAGTCGCCCACCCGGGGCCCCTGCAGCCGGAGACGTGAGCAGGAGAAGCTAACGCGGGCCCTGACTCCAGGTCCATGCTCTTTCTACTCCGCCAGATTTCTCAGGCTTGATTCACACATGGACCCTTCTGGAAGAACGAAAGTTTTCAAGAACCCACAGACCACACTCCTGTGCATCTCGAGTGGCTTCGGGCACTAGACAAGACAGCCCATCGACAAAGAGGGTCTCCGCTCGCTCAGACGCTGATCCCAGATGCTCCCCTAATACGTCAGGGATACGCCGCGGGAGAGGGAGCTCTACGGTTTGCCCTCCTCCGCTCAGCACTGCCAGAGTGCCAGCCACCCCCCGCTAAGGCCCGGGTCACTAGGGACCTCGCGAGGCTCCTGTCCCCTTCCGGGATTACCTGCATTTCCTATTCCCTTCCTTATTCTTCACTGAAGCTGGATTCGGCCCATTCCGTCAGCACCTGCGTGACACCTGGATAGCCACGTGTGACGACAGGCTTCTCACTGGGGACAGTGCAAACTCCGGCACTATCCCCTCGCGTTCTCAAGACGCCCTTCCTAGCTACTTCCTATTATCTATTTCTCTTACCTCGATTTGCACCGAATGGTTGAGAAATGCTGTGCCCTTTAAAAAGCGGGAAGAATAAGGGATACTAAAGGAAGAGTTATCGTTATTTTTAGCACTAGTGGTGGTGTGAGTGGGGTGCATGGCAAAGGGGGAGAAGTCACGGGGGCGCATCTCACGGTACGGCTCCCCTCCCCCGCCCCTCACCGCCAGGGAGGGCTGAACGCTTTTCATTTACTTAAGGATGCTGGGGAATTCGAAAGCCCCATGTTTTCTAGGCAAGCCTGAAATTTTATTCCCACCCGCATATCCGTTAAGGAAACAACACTACCATCTTAGTTTTACAAGTCACACTGGGTCTCGAAATTAATTTACGCAAACCCAGAGCGCTGTGGAAGACATGGGCCATAACCGCCTCCCTT